CGCCCTCGAACCGACACCGCTTCCGAAGGCCGGAGCTCGAGTCCTACGTGCCCTTCTTGGACACGGCTCTGCCTGTTGTCCACCCGTAATAGTTTTATAATAATGATATAATAATAATAATAATAATAATATAGTAATAGTGTTGGTGGGCTTCCCGAGTAGGACTTGGTTGAAGAGCCTGGTCTCGGTAAAATATGTGTATGGCAGATTTGGCTTGTGAAGGTATGTATGGCATTGCAGATTTGGCTTGTGAAGGTATGTTTATGACAGATTTGGCTTGTGAAGGTATGTTTATGACAGATTTGGCTTGTGAAGGTATGTTTATGACAGATTTGGCTTGTGAAGGTATGTATGGCATGACAGATTTGGCTTGTGGAAATATGTGTAACGTTACAGATTTGGTTTGTGAAGGTATGTGTATCGTTACAGATTTGGTTTGTGAAAGTATGTATATCGTTACAGATTTGGCTTGTGAAATATGTATATCATTACAGATTTGGCTTGTGAAAATATGTGTAACGTTACAGATTTGTTTTGTGAAAATATGTATGACATTACAGATTTGTCATGTGGAAATATGTATATCATTACAGATTTTTGTGAAAATATGCATAACATAACAGATTTGTCTTGTGAAAATATGCATTACATTGCAGATTTGTCATGAAAATATGTATATTTCAGATTTGTCGTGTGATTTTTACTTAATAGACTTGCTTGTCGACTGAATGTTGGAGTTATCATGTGTAATGTGGAGAGGAAACCTTTGTCACGTGATGAGGGATGTTTTCCTGTGGTAATGATGTACGTATGATGGGATGATGACGTCACGCATCCTAGTGGGATCGTTAGGTACCTGTCACTCATCGGGTCATAAGCAACTTCGTTAATTTTTTTGTGTCTGTCTTTGTCAACTCCATTTTTGTGGGTTTATGTATCTCCATAATTTTTTTTTATGTGCATGCATCAATTATCACACACGCACACATACACTCACTCACTCACTCGCTCAGTCAGTCAGTCAGTCAATCAGTCAGTCAGTCAGTCACACACACACACACACACACACACACACACACTCACACACACACACTCACACACTCACACACTCACACACATACACACACACACACACACACACACACACACCACGCACACAACACAACACACACACACACACACCACTCTCTCTCTCTCTCTCACCACACACACACACACTCACACACTCACACACACACACTCACACACACACACACACACTCTCAGACACACACGCACACACATACACTCACTCACTCACTCACTCACTCACTCACTCACTCACACACACACACACACACACACACACACACACACTCACTCACTCACTCACTCACACACACACACCACACACACCACACACACACACACAAACTCACTCAACTCACAACACACACACACACACACCACACACACACACACACACAACATACACTCACACACTCACACTCACAGTCACAATCACAGTCACAGTCACACACTCACCACTCACTCTCACACACACACACACACACACACACACACACACACACACAACACACACACACACACACACACACACACACATACACTCCACTCACACATCGATACACAACAATGTCTTAAACCGATGTATCGATATTTCAAAATTTGGCAAAAGCGATTCCGAAATATCGATTCTTCGAAGGCCAATAAAGCTACATCGATACCTGTGTGTGTGTGTGTGTGTGTGTGTGTGTGTGTGTGTGGTGTGTGTGTGTGTGTGTGGTGTGTGTGTGTGTGTGTGTGTGTGTGTGTACATATATATATATATATATATATATATATATTATATTATATGGTGTGTGTGTGGTGTGTGTGTGTGTGTGTTGTGTGTGTGTGTGTGTGTGTGTGTGGAAGAAAAATATCCGAACTGATATGTAAATATTTGATTTGGATATTTGAACAGAAAGGTGTTGTTTTTGATGACTTCTACACCACATGTGCGTTCACGACGCTTCGTCAATAAACAGAGTACATATATAATATATATTATATTATATATATAATATATATATATAATATATATTATATATATATATATATATAATATTTACAGTGTTCAGGCATCTTTGTGTTTCTTTGAGACTAACCAATAAAGACCATTGTTCCTTCACATAAAAGTATGATAATTGAATACAAGAAGTAAAAAATTAACTATCTCAATATTTATTAGCCACCCATGATAACATTTTCTGTAAAATATAGATATCTGTAGAAAACGATATTTTTTTCTGCTCTGTAGGGCTGACTCATATATTCTTTTATTTTGACGTATCGTATACTTTGAGATATTTCAAGACCCCTGAATGATTAATTATCATTCCAAAAATGAAAGTGTAAATCAAAAGGAAAAAGTAATCAATATTATCATCATGGAATGCGTTCCGTATTTTTCCATGGCACGATTTAATTGAATTGATGATAATGCGGATAATAATGATCACAATGACGAAATACCCGTAATAGTAATGATAATTAAGGGTGATAGAAGGATAAGAGTAATAAGGAAAATTACATCAATAATGGGAAATGATATATGATAAAAAAAGGTAACCATGATATTAACAGTAGTAGTAGTAGTAATGAGGATTTAAGCAATAATGACTAGAACAATAAAAATGATATTGGTAATGATAATGATATTACCAATAATGATAATGGTAATAATATATAATATGCCATAATTATGATGATAGTAATATTAATAATAATAATAATAAAAATGAAATAATAATAATAATAATAATAAATAATAATAAATAATAAATAATAAATATAATAATAATAATAATATAAAGTAATAATGATAATATATAATGATAATAATATAATAATAGTAATAATGATGATAATAATAATGATAATAATGATGATAATGATAATAATAATGATAATAGAGGTAATGATAACAATAGTAATGATAATGATGGTAATAATAATGATAATGATAACAATGACGATATAACTATGATGATAATGATAGTAATGACAGTAATAACAATAATTAATGATAATGATATGACGGAATGATAATTGTATGAATGTATGAATCAGTAACAGAAGAAGAAGGAAAAATGACAAACATGAGAATAATAAGAGAGGCGACGAAAAAAATGAAAGCAAAAGTGAAGAAAAATTAAGAAAATAAAGAAAGAGGAATACTAATGTAGAATATAAAGCACAAAATATGATAGACAATAGGTAATGAGAATAATAAGACAGAAAGAAGGCGAAGAAGGCGGGTGAAGGAGAAAATGAAAAGAAAAGAAGAAAACCAGTTTGAACTCAGCGCGCAAGGCCGAGTAGGATGAAGATACACAAGCGAGAAGGATGAACGGCTAGTTCGCGCTCCGCACACCAGAGGGAATCACCCACCGGCGAGAAAAATCGATGTTGAAATCTGGCGCGAGATTTGAATTCCTAAAAGCTTGTCCAGCAGTCACGGAGATCTTAGGTTGAAAAAAAAGAATTCATGCTTCTCAAAAATAAAGTCAACCTTCTTAACTTGACCCAGTAAGACCCAGGTCAGACGTGAGAATTCGTTTAAACGGAGCGTATAATCGAATCTAAAAAAAAAGGAGGAAATAGAGGAAGTTAAAAAAAAAAAAAACTGTTGCAGTGATCAAATGATGTGTTCGAAACTTTGGCCGTTAGCAAATACATAAAAAAATGGAGATCAGTTACGCCAATAAGAAGGAAAGACGGAGCTCTTTTAACGACATTTAACGGGAGTCGATTTGCATTTGTCATACTAATGTCCGAATGTACCCCATTTGCCGCCAATATTCTTGATCTCCCTTAACCCCAGCGACCCAGAGTATATTTATAAGTCACGACCCATTGAACTTTCGCTGAACTTCTCCCGGCGTCAAATAATGAAAATTCATAAATCCAATTGTGTTACCGCGAGCTTAATCGTCCTTTTGAGTAATTAAACTCAGGCGAAACTATGCAACGAGGGACGTTTCCTTCGGCCGCATCCTTCAAGAGGTAATTTTTCCCGCGCGAAAAAACCGTCGCCGCGCCGGGAGGGTGGGGTGGGGTGGGTGGGTGGGGGAGGGGGGGAGGGTGGCTGGAAGTTCGATGATGATAATTTCATCTCCGCATCTATTTTTCTTGCGGGTTTCTTCTCTTTCTCTCTCTCTGTCTGTCTGTCTCTTTCTGTTTGTCTTTCTCTGTCTTTGTCTCAGTCTCTGTCTCTGTTTCTTCTCTCTTTCTGTCTGTCCGTCTTTCTCTGTCTTTGTCTTAGTCTCTGTCTCTGTCCTTCTCTCTCTGTCCCTGTCTCTGTCTCTCTCTCTACCTCCTCCCCTTTCTCTTTCTCTCTCTCTCTCTGTCTGTCTGTCTGTCTTTCTCTGTCTTTGTCTCAGTCTCTGTCTCTTTTCTCTCTCTTTCGATCTCTCGCCTCCCTCCCTCCCTTTCTCTCTCTGTCTGTCTGTCTGTCCTCTCTCTCTTCTCTCTCTCTTCTCTCTTCTCTCTCTCCTCTCTCTCTCTCCTCTCTCTTCTCTCTCCCTCTCTCTCTATCTCTCCTTCTCTCCCTCTCTCTCTCACTCCCTCATACCTTCTTCTGCTTCCAAAAATCCCCAGCGCCTCCTTTAAAAGCTTTTCTTCCCCTCTTCTTCCTCCTCTTCCTCTTCCTCCATTTACCCTCGTTTCTCGATCCTCGCTTTTACTGGTTCTTCCCTTCCCATCCCATACTTACGCGAAGAGAAGGAGAGAAAAATTGAAAGATTAATATGCGGAGGAATTCCACAAGGAACCCAATAAGTGCAGGAACATTCAGATACACAGACATATTCATAGATATGTTACTTATGAACACACACAGAGAAACAGAAACACGCACACACACATACACACATACACATAGACATATATACATAACACACACTCACATATACATAACACACACACGCACACATACACACATATACACATAACACACACGCGCACACATACACACATATTCATAACACACACACACATACAGACACATATACATAACACACACACATACACATACACACGTATACGTAACACACACACACATAGACACATACATAACACACACACATATACATAACACACACACACACATTCACACATATACATAACACACACATATATACATAACACACACACACATATACGTAACACACACACATAGACACATATTCATACCCATACACATACACACATATACATAACACACACACACACAATATACATAACACAACACACAAAACACATATACATAACAACACACACACATATACATAAACAAACACACATAGACACATATTCACACACACACATACACAACATAACACAACACACACACACACATACATAACACACACACATAACATAACCACACACGTAACCACATATACATAACACACACACATACACATAAATACATAACACACACACACGAATATACATAAACATTCATTAAAACATTACGCACGCAACACACGCACACTCATCCATTAAAAAAAAAAAAAAAAAAAAAAAAAAAAAAAAAAAACATACAAAAAGGAGAGAGAGAGAGAGAGAGAGAGAGAGGAGGGAGAGAGAGAGAGAGAGAGAGAGAGAGAGAGAGAGAGAGAGAGAGAGAGAGAGAGAGAGAGAGAGAAGAGAGAAGAGAGAGAAAGAAAGAAAGAAAAGAAAGAGAGAGAGAGAGAGAGAGAGAGAGAGAGAGAGAGAGAGAGAGAGAGAGAGAGAAGAGAGAGAGAGAGAGAGAGAGAGAAGAGAGAAAAAGAGAAAGAGGGAGAGAGAGAGAGAGGCAACACAATCAGCTGATCTCTACGATCAATTGATACGTAAATAAGATTGTTTTAACCTACTACCTTCCGTTTCATATTTTCAAAAAAAACTTGTTTGCTAGAACTCTTTATAACGGTTTTTTTCCCTCCCT